TCTTTCATTCTTTTCAATGAAAAAGGCATTAACTGGTATAAATTTCCTCTGAGCACTGTTTTCCTTGTGTCCCATAAGTTTCGGTATGTGTGCTTTTACTGTTATTTATATGATTTTTTTCCTAATTTTCCTGTGATTTTTTTCTCTGACCTATTGTTTGTGTGCTGTTTAATTTCCATATATTTGTCAGTTCTCCAATGACCCTTCTGTTAACGATTTTTAGCTTCACTCCTTTATGGCCTGAAAAGATACTTTGTATGACTTAAGTATTTTTAAATATATTGAAACTTGTTTTGTAGCCTAACAGACAGTCTCTTCTGGATAATGTTTGTACATGAGAAGAATGTATGTTCTGCTATTATTGGGTATATTGTCCATTTGGTTTACTTGGTTATGGTATTGTTTAAGTTAGTTATTTCCTTATTGATCTTCTGTCTAAATGTTCTATCTATTATTGGAAGCAGGGTATTGAAGTCTATTATTTTAGAACTGCCAATTTCTTCCTTCCATTTTGTAATGTTTACCTCATATATTTGAAGGTTCCTTTGTTTGGGGTTTACATATTTTTAATTGTTATATCTTCCAGATGAATTAAAACTTTTATTAATATATAGTCTTTTTAAAATCTCTTGTAACATTTTTTTTAAGATTTATTTATCTATTCCAGAGAGAGAGAGAGATAGATAGATAGATAGATAGATGGGGGAAAGGACGGAGGGAGAGGGACAGAAAGAGTCCCAAGCAGACTCCTCACTGAGTGCAGAGCTCAATGTGGGGCTTGATCTCACAATTCTGAGATCATGACCTGAGTCAAAATCAAGAATCAGATGCTTAACTGACTGAGCCACCTAGGCACCCCCTCTTTTTACAGTTTTTGACTTAAAGTCGATTCTGTCTGATATTAGTATAAGCTACTCAGCTCTCTCTTATTTGTTATTTGTGGGGAATGTCTTTTCCCATCATTTCACTTTTAACACCTTTTGTCTTTGGATCAAAAGTGAGTCTCTTACAGTCAACATATAGTTGAATTGTGTTTTTTTTTAATCCATTCTACAATCTTTATCATTTGATCCATTTACATTTAATCCATTTTATATTTAAAATAATTACTGATAATGAAGAACTTACTTTTGTTTTTTTAATATTTGATATTTATATGTTTTATGCCTTTGTGTTGTTTCTTGGGGATAGTTTCTAGTAATTTCATTTGTTAATGAGTATACTTTTGTGTTTTTTCATGCTTATAAAATTTTTTGAGAACTGTATGGTTTGAATATTATGATGTGGTAATTCTAGAATTTTTTTTCTTCTTAATATTTGTTTTTGTTTCTAGCTGTTCACTGTAGCTGTAGTTTTATTTAGTGACTTTTATAAACAATTTTTATAGTGTCTATATTTTTCATCCTATGTGGTCTCTGAAGCCCTTGTTTCTTTAGCTTATATTCAGCCACTGTTTTGACAGATATTTCTTTGAACACAGGAATGAACAAGAAAGAGAGAAGAAGAGGTGGGGGAGGAGGAATTAAAAAAAAAATTCTTCCATGTTTTGTAGATTGGCTCTGTGCTGGGTTACCCCTTTCAACATTTAGACCATTTACAACTCTGCCTTGCCCTTCACTTTCCGCTTGGACTAATTCTAGAGACCAGTCAGTTGAAATCTTAGTATTTTTAGTCATTAGTCCTGCCTTAGGCATGTGCATGGCTTTCTAAATCCCCTATATATGGGGAATGTATAGATCTCCCAAATTTTCTTCACAGGTTTTCATTACTTAATTGTACTGCTTCAACTATAATCTTTTGCTCTAGATAGCTGCAAGTGGTTCATTTGAACTAAGATTTTTCCTCCTTGAGTGAATTCTGAATTGGACAACAAAGACAAGTGCCTCACCTTGGTCCTTTAGGGAGCTCCCAGACAGAACAGACAAACATATTCTTTGTTAATAAGCCAAATCTGCTCATTCTAGAAGAAGGAACCAGAGGTCCACCTTGGGGACAAGTTGCTGGCCTCAAGACTGCCACTTAGCTAGAAGGAGAATGGGGAAAGAACGAATAAAAATGTCACAAACTTTTCTTACCTTCTGTAACTTTTTTCTTGATTTAGAGTTAGTTACTATTTTCCAGAGTTCTGGCAAATTTAATACTGACAGTTGTTGCATGATTATTTTTGATGCCTCTGTGGAGAGATGCTTCTGTGGAGAGATGGGCCCTTACAGCAACCTACTGTGCCATTTTCAGTGACATCACATATTTGGCACTGTTGTTAACATATGTGAAATATTTAACTTTGGTAATAACAATATGCTATTATATAAGAACACTACAGGTTTAACTGATTTAGAGCTAAACTGAGCATAGTAAAATACTGAATGCAGTGGACATAAACACCTCTCTGCAGTCTTTCCATATCTGATTTTATTTTGTCTCTGGAATGGCCAGCAATTCATTGGTAATTTACTTTCCTTTACTGTAGACTGGTAACACACCAAAAGCAAATTTATTCCTTAAAATTTTTTTCTCTATAGGTTAAATATGGGAGAAGTTTTTAATTAAATCAAACGTATTTCACTTGTTATACAGTCCATCAGGTGTAGTAAACATTTGAAGATGATATAAACAGCCAAATATCATTTATCACAAATAACAGTGATAATAATTACTTGATTTTTTGTAGGACTTCACTAAGTGAATTATATGGTGGTGAAGATGATAATGTTGTATTGGCATTTAAACAACCAAAGTGAAGCATTCAAGACAAAACTTTGGAAAAAAAAAAAGACATTGACATTGTTAATCTTTACCTAAGCACTATGATCCTGGAAAATAGAGATGATCCAGAAATGTTCCCACCCATTTGTATTTCAGAAAATGGCTTATAACTTAGAACCATTCTTTCTCATATGACTCAGACAAGACTTGCTTATGATCCCCTGTTTACCAATAATAGTCCTCAACACACCCATCAAATTCCTATTCTTTGCCTCATAAATGATTAGCTGAACTGTTTTCCCCTACTGACCAATCTGGACAAAATACATAACTTGACTAAACTTTACTCAGGTTTCTTCCTTCCCCATAGGTCCCTGGACTTTAATCCACCCTTTAGCTCCTGCTGAAAACTAACTGGAGGCTTTCCCGGAAGAACTGTCCCAGATCCACTGTCCAATCTCAGATCAATGACTGGCAATGTTAACCAAAGACATTCCCAGATGAATTGTCCAATCACACCACAAATTCATCCCTTCTCCCATAACTGATTTTTTCTAGCCATGTCTATTCATCCTTATAACTTAAAAATCCTTTTCTGGCTGACCCTTGAGACCCCTGTAAATCTCACAGTCAGAACACCCTCTTTGTGGCAGTAGTAGTCCCTCTTTCCCTATTGTAGCTCTTCTCCCCACTTACTGCAATATCTTTTTGAATAAAACCCCTTCCTATATAAGTCCAGATTTGTTTTTGATTTAACAACACCATGCCTTACCAAAGAAATAAAAGGTATTACCTAGCAAAAGTATAAATTTCAGAATTTATTGAACTACTTACACAAAAATGTCCTAGTGAGGAAAAATTTCATTTAAATATCTAAATTCTCAATAGGAATTCTAACATTTTTCTTGTATTAAAACTCTTATCTAAAAAAATTATCTGGAAGAATAGCTATGCTAAATATCTCAAATAATTACTACTTTTGACTGAAATGTTAAAGTTTTTTAAAAGATAAAAATCAAAGCCACTTTAAAATGATATGACATCATATGTCACAGCAGTAAGTTAAAACCTCAAAAGTGATTTAAGAAGTCTAATTATTCTTAAATGTTTCATGTTGTGCCCAGTCACTGTGTTCTAAATGTCCTATATCATTTTGCCTGTAAGAAAACAGGCTCTGAATACAGCTTTCACTTCTCCTGAGACTGGTGAAGACAGATCTACAGGGACTGGGTTATAAGCTATTGAAAAAAAACTTTCCATGTGGAACAGAGCACTCCCATCAACTTTGCCAGGTCACCTAGATTTATTGCATGTGTCCTCATTTTCCTTGCTTGACTTCATTTACTGCTACTTCCTGTGATCTTGGGTTTTGTGTTTTCCCTCTCTTGTGGATTCATCCATTTCTGTTTCTGCTTTTAGTCTTAGCTAGTTTGTAGCATCAATCTAGAATCTCTCCCAAATCTACTTCAATGTTTTTCCTTTGCTGTTCCTAATTTACTGAATTTTCAGACACGTAAGGAGCCAGGCTTTACTGATGGTACAAAGCACATAATAGCTTCCAAATGGCTTTGATGTTGATGTTAAGCAGGGAAGACAAAAGCAATGAGCAATGACTTTTCTGACACTGCACGGGCAAATACTGGGTTGATTAGGCATTCGTATTTAAAAAAAAAAAAAAAAAGGTAGGGATAAACTGGCTTTATTAGAATGATTGTCAAATGCACCCACCAGCCACACACACGTCTACACTCACACACAGACACATGCACCCATTTTTACATCCAGGTCTCTTACATATCAAAGCCTGACAAGGATCTGTATGGCTGCACTTTGCTGTTATATAACTTCATTTTCTTTTAAATGGACACAGCTTTAGATGTTAACTTTAGCTTTATTGCATTTGTACAAAAATCTTGAAAATTTCTCTAAGGGGGTTGGCCCCACACCATGTTTTCCTCTCCCCAAGCATGCTAAGGACAGGAATAAGCAGATTTTCTTGTAGGCAACTGACAGTTTGCATTTAGATAAAATATATTTCAATGAAATTATTTTTATTATTCCATTATTTTATTATTCCATTTAGTAAATTGCTGATTTGGGTGATAAGTACATATCCACTGTCATATATTTTATCAATAGATTTTTCTTTGGCTTAGAATGATTTTAAAGATCGAAGAGAAAATTGATTCTATAATTTAGCTATGATGCTTCTAACAAGGCAAACTTCTCACAAACTCTTTATTTAGACAGGTCTGTAAATAGGAGTGCTGTGTCCTCTGCCTCCTTCTTTTGACTCAGTAGTCTTCAGCATCACCAGCACAGATGGCAAGCAGAGATTTTTCATAATGCCCTGAAGCAAAATTCTGAAACAACCAAACAAAAAAACAATGTATATGAAATAAAATGTCATAGTATTTCCAAAAAGAAGCATGATTCCTCTGAATTACAACGAGAAAGATCCATGGGCCGTTACCGTTTCCAAAACTGTTCACTCTTTTCATCTAAAAATTTAATATGTTCTGAGAACTATTCCCAGTGGAACTTATTGGAAAATAATAGCCTGGTTATAGTCAATAGAATAGGGTTTATATAAAGTTGATTGAACTCTAATGTGTATTTATGAAAAGAATAACTCACAGTAGAATTAAATCTCCTCAACTTTAAAAGAGGTGTACTAATATTGTTGTTATAAATCAGCTTAGAGTCTGGAGGGCAAATTAACAATATGCCTCCAAAGACTTAAAAACATTTACACTCACCAATGCAGTAATTCTACTTCAAGAAATGTATCCTAAGGAAATAATGATCAATTATTGATGAGCACAAAAATTTACACTAAAAAATATAGACAACATTATGCATAATAGTGAAAAAGTAAAAATCAATATTTAAAATATGGGATAGTTTATATATTTTATAACTTATACAGTGGAATACCATGATTCAGTAAAAGTATTCCTTTTTGTAGTAAAGCATATTAATTTTATATATATTTTTAAAAGCAGCACCTACAACAGTTCATTACTGATTGTCTGTGGTGAAGAATAAGGGCAATTTTTATCTCCTTTTTATGATCTTCTATAGTTTCTAAGTTTTTAAAAACAATAATAGTAAGAAATAAATGGGATTATAAAAACTATGTTAAAGATCAACTATCATATTAATGTTCTCTTAAAAAAGTCATGCAATTATAATTCACTGTTTTAAATGCATTTAGTAAAGTTACATTAATTACATGTAGACTTTGAGGTGGCTCAGTTAATTGAAGTATATATGTTAGAATTCACTTATTCATTTAGAAAATGAGTTTTGACATTTCTCAATTAGAAATGTTCATCATCCTTTAAAGTTTAGGGTTTTGAAGGTAGGTGCAAGGGCAGTTTTATCAAAATAAAGGAATAAAATGCCTCTTAACTCCTGCAATGTCTTTTTTGGAGCAACTTTGGTTATGCAAAGGCTTACAGGGTCTTCTGTTGTTTTTAATGGTCTTTTGGTCCTTAGGTTGTCAAGTTGCTTCTGGATCACTTTTAATAAACTAAAAAGCTATTTTGTGCAATTGAAAATTTCAGTGTAAAGCAATGTGAACAGGTAACAGCACTCAGCTACACGCAAAGTATAAGGTAAGATATATTCTCAGGGCCTTGTGCTTGGTTTAATACCCTGGTGATGCCATCCCAAAATTCTTTATAATTATTTGAATGAGAGGTTAAATATTTTAATTTTAGATTGGGTGCCAAAAATTACATGTGTAGCCCTGTATATCCTAATAATTCTTTGCTAGGTTTTATCAAAATCCAGACTAAAGCTACATATTAGAATGGACAAATTTGTTTGTTTACTTCAGAATCATTGCTGCTTTGCCCTTCAACAGCTAAAGGGGTTTATAGAATTACATAACTATCAAAGTTAAATTCCTGCACGTTACCAGTTTATAGGATTCCACTGGCTGCCCTGCCTTCTATGACAATATGAGAGGAGAACTGAACTGATCTAAGAAGCCTTTTCACAGTTAGTGTGGCCTTATTGTAAATCGTACCTTTCCTGATACTGATCATGCTCAAAATTTAACTCACAAAGCCCAATTACACAATTAAGGGATGAATACTTTACATGACTCCATCAACAATTTTTGTTTGAAACACATAAAAAATTCCCTTACTGAGATGAAGGGAGTTCCTCATTTAGCCCTTGTTGATGCACTAAATACTGTCTGATGGACTAGAGTAGATCATCTTGTCAGAATAGCTAACTTTTTAGATTCTAACACAAAGTTACTTAAAGCTCTTATATCAGTTTTAAAAATGATAAAATCTGGGTGAAAATAAATCACGTGTAGGAGATTTACTTTGATGTCATGAAACAGCGATTTTCCGTATCTCTCTTTGTATCGTTTCCTGATGGTCATCAGATCTATTTCACTTCTGGCGATTAGGATCCTGATTACAGTTTTATTATGGAACCCGAAGTCCTAAAAGAGACAGAGAAGGAAAGAAAAAAATTGGAAAATGGTACCTTAAAGTTAATCTGTCTAATATAGATTCAACCTCTTTTCTGTGGCTGTTTATTCATCCTGTAGTCCTCAAACACTACAGGGGATCGGGGGAGTGCCCACCTCTGACTCCCATATCCTCTGAGACTTCGCCTTCTCTCATACAGTGTACACACAGTGAAGCATTCTACCTGTTTGACTTCTTTCCTTTGCTTTATTTATTTATTTTGTTGAAGTATAATTGACATAATTTTGCCTATTAATTCCAGATGTATGTCATAGTGATTCAGTATTTTTATACATTACAAAATGTTTCCCATCAATCTAATTTTTCACCATACAGTTTTTTGCCTTACAGTTATTGCATTCCCAAAACTGTATGCTAAATCAGTGTTATTTATCTTATAACTGGAAGTTTGTACCTCTGAATTCCCATTAGCTATATCACCTGTTCCCCCACCCCTCTCCCTTGGTGACCAGCAGTTTGTTTCTTGTATCTGTGAGTCTGTTTCTGTTTTGTTTATTCATCTGTTTTGTTTTTTAGATTCTACACATAAATGAAATAATATGGTATTTGTCTTTCTCTGACTTATTTAACTTAGCATAATACCCTCTAGGGCCATCCATGTTGTTGCAAATGGGAAGATTTCATTCTTTTTAATGGCTGAGTAATATTCCTGTGTCTGTGTGCATGTGTGTGTGTGTGTGTGTGTGTGTGTGTGTGTGTGTGTGTGTTTGTGTGTGTGTGAAACATTCTTTATTGATGGGAACATAGGTTATTTCTTGGCTATTGTACATAATACCACAATGAACATAGGGTCACTTATATCTCTTCAAATTGGTGTTTTTATTTTCTTTGAATAAATTCTCAGAAGTAGAATAGCTGAATGGGATGGTAGTTCTATTTTTTAAGTTTTTCAGGAAACTCAATACTGTTTTCCATATTGGCTGCACCAATTTACACTCACACCAACTCTGTATGAGGATTCTCTTTTCTCCACATTCTTGCCAACTCATGTTATTTTTTGTCTTTTTGATAATAGCTAATCTGGCAGGTACAAGGTGATATCTCATTGTGGTTTTGATGTGTATTTCCCTGATGATTAGAGATATCGAGCATCTTTTCATGAGCCCATTGGCCAGTTGGCCATCTGTATATTGCCTGTAGTGGAACTGCTGGAGTGGTGTGGGTCAGGGGCCTCGGGCATGCTGGGGCTGCCCTAGCAGGCTGGGTAGAGCATCTGGACCCTGTTTCTGTCTCTGCTATCAAGGTGGAGGAGAAATGTGAAAATTGGTACTTGTTCACACCTCTGACCCCGGAGAGACTTCCAATAGTTCCTCACCCATTTGGTGGATGTTTTACGGTTCATGAATGAATTTCCTTTACTTACAGTATATTTGCCCTTTATACTGCTGTTTCATCGCTGTGCCCAGTGAATCTGGTGCATAGTGATCTGTGCACAGGCACCTCAGTGATATCCCTCCCTACTATAGGTCTTTGTGTAGAGGTGACTCTGTCTCCAACTCTCCTATCCTTCTCTGTGTGGACCCTTCATTATTTGTTGTGCAGAAGCTGCTCAGCTTTCAGTTGTTCTTCAGGAGGAATTGCTCCATATGTAGGTGTAGATTTGGTGTGTCGGTGGGAGGAAGTGAGTTCGGGATCTTCCTACATTAGCGTTCGGGCCCCCTTCCTATTTTACTTCTTAAATGTCCCGTAATATCTATTTCCATTGTCACTACCTTGATGCTGGCCCTTATCATTTCACCCTGATCCTGCAATAGTTCCTTTCTTTCACCACCCGACCAACCTTCACATTCTCTCCTTCCTGATTCTGCAATAGTTCTTTCCTTTGAGCCTGGTCAACCTTCACACTGTCTCCCTCACACTGCATTATAAAATACAAATCTGATCATTTGCTCTTTCTAGGTAAAAATTCTAGGCCAGTGAGGGAGGGGGTTTTGAATTATGTTAGAGGAACATTGATATGTCCGAGTGAGACAGCAATTACATTTTTATTTTACAGTTTATTACTAAAAATTGTAAAAAAAAATCCAGGTATTTGAAATATTTTTGGATTTAAACTCAAATACTGAAAAATAAAAATCAGTTCCTGTATACTAGCTCCAGAAAGAATATTGCTTTATAAACCAAGTTCAATTTGTCTTTTCAAATGGAATAATGGGGACATCCAGTGGCCAAGGAGCATAATATATATGTGTGTGTAGAGATACACATATATATGTGTGTGTGTGTGTATATATATATATGTAAAATTTTATTTTATATATATATATATATATATATATATATATTTGGCATAATAAAATTTTTGATGTCTGAATGTTTTGGGTATAGACCTCTAAGCAATCTTTTCATAATTTGAGGTAAATAAATTATTTACCCAAATTTCCATATTTAAATTGTATATCATTCACTTAGAGTGCACTAGAGAAAAATACCTGCAATTTTCTTTGATTAGGAGTAGTGTAAACAGCTTTGACCAACATTTACATTTGAGGTCATCATATGTCAAAAATTAAATTATTTGAATATACAATCCTCCTCTTTACCTCTAAACCAGTTGTAAGTACATGCATTTTCATTTTTGCATTGAAACACACAGAGAAAGAATTTTTATTTATTATTAGAATAAGTAGCCCTCAACTTGGACAGATTTGGAATCAAACTAATTATGCTTATTTCCCCATGGTCATTCACAAGTGAAACTTCATTCTCTTTTTAGAGAAGGACATTGTTGAAATCATTCCATAGCATTGTCCAATACATTATTTAAAAATTTTTTTAAATCAAGTCAATTTTTTTTCTGCTTGGAAATAAAATAGAAGCAGAGAGCTATGAGCATAGGCTACATGTGTTCTGAGGATACATAGGTTGGTTCTTGTATGTAAATAAAAAATACTCTTTACAAAAGATATATAATAGAAATATTCTCAACTATTATCATATTATCCCAGCTTACTAGCTACTTTTAAGAAGTTGGTCTGTAAAAACAACTTTGAGGATAAAACAGACTTTTAAAACTACTGACTTAAAAAAAAATAATTTTCACAAAGTTTTTGAGATATGATACATGTATAATGATTTGTATCAGAACTTTTCTTTTTCTAAGAATGTGTTATGCACATTATGGATAAAATGTGCATTGTCTCATGCATTTAAGTTTTTGTTTCTTTGAAAATAAATGCACCAAAGGAAGTGTGATCGACTATCACACTAAATATGAACAACATTCTCATTTAATTACAAAATAGATTATTGTTATCTAGCCATCTCTTCTTAAAGTACTTTCTAAAATAACACTTTAAGTTTAAAAATAACCACTGGCATTATTTCATTTTTTTTTTTTTAAATTTCAGAAATGTAGCAATTTCTTACTAAGGGTTTATAATGTTTTGACATTTCCTGCTTGATACTATATGTTTTGTGCTTGAGTTAAGTGTGAACTAGGGGTCTTTGGCAAAATACAAAAGCTTTTGGGTTTGCCAGCTTCTTCATATGCTAAGAACTGCTAAAGCACATGGGAGAGATAGCTCCCATGGAGTCATACTTCTCAAGTAACTCAATTTGATGCAGAAAGCAGAGCATTATTTATTTGGTTGTTCTCATTTTGGTGTATAATACATTTTTTCCCCACTTGAGCATATTTTGTTTGAAATGAATATGTTTGTATACAAGTTCAAAAATGTTTAAATAATAAAAGTAAACCTAATGCTTTGAGAAAGTAAACATGATTATCTGGGAAAATTTTAAAAATATGTGGGTCATACTTACATGGATTGCACTATATAGTCTATAAGCAAAATAGGCTGGTTTATCTCGAATACAGAGAACTAGGAAAAATCAGAGGAAAGAAAAGAAAATTTGAGAATGACAACATATATTTTCTTCAGAATTTGGGAAACAATGAAAACACTTCTTTTTTTTCTGTTAAAATCTTGGGAGAGTGAAACTTTTTGAGTCCGATGTGGGAAACCTCATTGTAAATTGTAGTAAAATTTCAATATTTAAAATAGTGGTAAAACTATAACCTATAAAAAATGTAAAGCAACAATATTATAATGACTCATTCAGGTTTTCATTTAGTCTATGTCTTTCTCTTGGAGATCTCTTAGTTCTTTCACAGTGTCTAGTGAAGAAAGATGTGTCCCTTTTACCTGAAAATTAAATAAAGCTTTAAAGAGACCCAGGTTATCACCACTATTATAGATTTTTATTATTATAAAACTCAATATACAATTGATTCATTTTCCCAAACACTATTTTTAGTCCCTCATAGACTTGTGAATAGATCTGAGGTCTTTCTCTCTTCTTTTTAAAGATTTTTTAATTTATGTGAGAGAGAGAAGGAGAGACAGAGACCGAGAGTGGGTGGGGAATAGGAGAGAAAAAGTGAATCTCAAGCAGACTCCCCACTGAGTGTGGAGCCTCCCCCTTGGGACTGAATCTCCAACCCTGAGATCATGACCTGAGCCAAAATCAAGAGTCACATGCTCAACCAGTTGAACAACCCAGGCATCCCAAATCTGAGATCTCTTAAAAACAAACAAACAAACAAACAAAAACCTGGATGGGTGATAAGGGGCATGGAGTACTGTTAGGAGTCATCTAATCAAAACCATTATGACATTAGAACCACTTAGAACCTAGTGAACAGTTGTCCTTAATGGAGGTCATTTGATTATTATTGACATTCAATAATGTTTATTTGAATAAGTAAATAAATTAATAAACAAATGAGTAACATATGTGAGGCTATAACTTCTCGGCAAAATAAAGTCATCACAACAGTGTTTTCTCTACAGTTCAAATAATAATTTTAGGTTGTAAGACCATGCCTTCATCTTTTACATTTATTTATAACTGTGAACTTCATAGAACACTCTTGAGTCTCTGCTAGAATGTGGACACTTTCATTGCTTTTGTTGTTGTTTTACTGTTCCATTTGCACAGCCTAAATCAAAGGCCACAATAGTGGATGATTCAATAAATGTTTATTGAATAAATGAATGAATCAGTTAAATTGTTTTCTGCTATTTCTCATGTCCACTATTTCCTCTTACCTACTGCTTTGTTTGTGGTACGGTATATAGTGGAAAGAGAGCAATCTTGGAATTCAAATGACATGGGTTCTAGTCATAACTTTGTTGCTCATTAGTTGATGGACTTTGAAGTAGTCAATTAACCTCCTTGGCCTTGTTAAATGGGTTGCAATGTGATATATTATTAAACTATTTTGAAAATTAGCCAAAACAAATGTCCCATATTCTCAGAAAAACACACACATACTCATATATTGTATACTATTTTAAGGATTTCATAGACCCCACCAAACCTTTTTAATGGAACCCTAGCTTGAAACTCCTTTAGAAGCTAAGGTATAAAAATTATGTTCCTTGCCATCTCAAATGCCCATGTATGTTTGTGCCATTCTAGGAATGGAAAATCATAATATACATTTATTCAACAAATGTAAATGGTTACTTGATGTGTGTTCTTTATGGGGACATTTCACAAAGATATTTCATTTGTAGTTCCTACAATGTATGCTGTCAAGTCACAGCACAGAACAAGGTACAGCATAGTGGTTTCATAGTAGTTGTTATGGATAACTACCACTGTTTTCTTCTCTATGGGAAGATATCTTTTCTTAAGAAAGAGATGGAAGTATGTCCCTTTCACAATAGCCTGGAGAAATCACTATTGAGTAACAACTTGGCAAATTTTTGTTTATGGTAGAACTTACTCCTAAAGGCAAAATATTAAAGATGATGACAAAAAGACTCTTCCACTTGGAGAAAAGGAAGCCAGATTTCTAGCATTTATCTGCTTTTTAACAAGGGAATGGAAATCAGTACATATAAATGAGTTCAAAGGTATGAGATCCCAGTTACCTGAGAGAGTGAGATTTCAATGTTTCCCAGTATGAAAGTTGAACCAGCTATTATGGAAGGGTATTAGTTCATTAAAGTTATCAAGTTGCCAGTTTAGTGCATTGTATGAGTAGCTAATGTACTTTTCCTCTATAGAGTTAACATCTTCACTAAATAATTAAATTCAGGGAAAGTAACTCAATGAAGAGCAAAGTCATGCATGTTTAATTCAATCAGAGCTAATCAGCACTTATTGTGGAATTGAAGGTCTGCTGTACACCAAATAAATCATTACTTACCAATTGCAACTAGCAACTCTTGGAAGTATCCATCATAGCATTCATTAATGGCATCTACTATGTCTTGCCCAGAAATATTTTGAAATTCCTGGAAAACTTCAACAAATTGATATAATTCAAAGGAGATTTTGTTCATATTATGATTTTAAAATATAAATATTATAAATTTAAAATATAAATATTGGTTAGCTTGTTACACATAATGAAAGTAAATAAAGTACAGGGGTACAGGTTGAGTTGGAGTAGGCTATCTTTCACAATTTTTATAGTGTTTTATATATGTAGAAAAAAATAAAACAATTTTTTAACTAAAAGAAACAGAAAAGTATAGAAGCCAAACAATATGCAAACTAATATGAATGCACTTCTAAGACAAATATGACGGCTTCACATAAATCATGACATTAATGATAATCTCCTTGACTTGTAAGTTAAACCATGATTACTATATTCTCTTCAAGAAAACATCTAATAGGCCTAATAGAAAATAGCTAATTTATTTGAGTAAGTTCTCCATCATGATTTTGATGATTGATGATTTTGAAAGATTCAATATTTAAAGTTTATATAATTCAATTTTTGGAAAAAATAAAATTATAAGAAAAATTTATTCCTTAGTAATGTCATTAGATAAGACATTCTGTATAAATATAATTCAAAATAAGTACCTTTGTGATCAGTGACTTTCCTCTATATGTAACATTTCCCTTTTTTGCCCTTCTAGTTAACTACTTGCTTTCTATTAAACTATCAGTTAAGTAGCTGAAAAGAAACCTGATTAATAATTACCGAGCCACAGTTGTTGATAGCTTTTGTTGCACAGGATCATTTGCAGCATGGTTTTGTGTTCCCCTGTCTTCTGCTGACAGGCTTCCCACAGGACCTGAAACATCATATCGCTAGGAAGTCGCTTCATAACCACCACAGACCATTTTAACAAAGGTTTTTCATAGTCACTTTGAGATCTGGTTCTAGTTACCATTGCATCCTGAGCAGCCATAGCAGGGTCTGTGTATCCTTCCTCTCTGGTTCCCTGTAAAATAAGCACAGGTTTTCCTTTGTAAATTTTCTTGATTAACAACCCATATAGGATTATTGGGACAAAAATCTTTGAACCACCAAAAACATTGGTAATTCCTTAAAAAATTCTATCATTATTTGAAATTAGTCTACATTTGTTGAATATTATATGAAACATAGGTCCTTTTTAAAAATGGGGGGTTTTATCTTTTCTTTGCACCAGTGGTAATCTTTCAAAGGCATTGAAGTGTTTTTACTCTGATGACTCTCTATGCAGTATCTTCTTCCCATCAAACTGGGCATCATCCAAGGCCTGGTAGTGGGTAGTACTATTGGATTTAACATTTTTGGAGTGAAAATGCAGAGAGAAAGAATGAGTTAATATTCAGTCTCTGACTTGTCAAATAGGATACATGCAACAAAATAATAATGAAATCCAGATTTTGTAGAGTAAGAATATTTTACAAATTTGTATCATGCCCACCACTCCCACCCATTTATCATATAAAGAATAAATATGGCCAAGTTGATTAGAGATTCTATTACAAACAGGAAGGAAGGAGGGCTAGCCAGTGCAGGAGCTTCTGATCTCCAAGGATTATGACTATACAGTCTGGGGGGAAGAGTTCAGAGAGACATATGATTAGACAGTTCATTTACTATTTCCCTTGGGTTGAGATCTGGAGGGAAGGCTTTTCTTCTCGTTTCA